CTCAGATTATCTGCATGAACAAGATAAGATATTGATTTTATGATATATATGATGCAAAATTAATGTATAGGATCAATGTATGATACATTTCCAAACAATCACGTGGTTGAAAAATATTGCAAAAATAATTACTAACTTTGCATGGTTAATTGCTTACTAAACTTAACTTATTTTTTTACGACTTTAAACAAAATCTATACTTTTAATTCCAAATTTAATACTCTTAATGATAAAAATTATTCAAATTATGAGTAATAACACCCAGATAATTTTTTTTCTTTTTGGTTTTTTGCCAGTTGTAAGAAAGTAGGTGGCCTTTAAATTCGCCCACTCGAAAGAAATGGCTAGCAGACCAGAGCTATTCTTTTTTTTTTGTTACAATAAAGGAGGCTGAAAGCATAAATTCTTACATTTCGGGGATATACAACTCCTATAATATCATATTTTAACCAGGGTCTAACACCTGACGGTGGAGCTTCAAATCTCTGTAGTCCGATCAAGGCTAGCAGATCAGAGCTATTCCAATCCACTATTTCAATAGTCAATATTCTTCCAGGGGAGGAATCTATCGAAAAACCAACCCTAATTTTACACACCCATCGACTGATATACCTTCGTCCCTCATCGCATAATCCACTGAATCTTCCACCCTCGGAATCCTATTCTAATGAACTTCCGAATCAAAGACGTTCATCAATGTTCACGGCTAATGCTATAGCTGAGAATGAAGATCTATTGAGGCACATGTTAGTCTATTTACCCCCGAAATCCCTCTTTCGTTTCGGGTGTGTTTCTAAGAAGTGGTTCTCAATCATTTCCGAACCCTATTTCTGGCGTCTACATTTGCAGAATTATAAGCCTATTGTCGCGGGCCATTTTTTGATCATTGCCCATACAGAAGACTATGTAAATCCATCGAATATCATTGCCCATACAGAACACTATTATAACCCTATTTCCAGACCTCAATCTCATTGCTCATACAGAAGACTATGTAAATCCATCGAATCACATAGCTTATCATTTGAGAGATTGTTTTGATCTTAGTGAAATCTTGGGATTCCATTCATGCAATGGGTTAGTGGCAATGGCCATAGAATCCAATTTGAGTCGTTGCATTGATTTTTTTGTATATAACCCTACAACTCGTACCCGTAAGCTCATTCCACCACTTTATGTCCCCAACTTCTTTAATTTTTTTTGGTTATTCATCCACAAACAAGTTTATGTTTTCAATCTCTAAATATTACATTTGATCCTTTCCAGTCTGACCAGTTCGGATCCTCTGTATATTTTTTCCTGTAAGTTCCTGTAAGGAATTCGGAACAGCGTCGTTTCATCTCTTGTCCCGTCAACTCTCATATCTTCACCTTGGTAATTTTCTTCGGTTATCGGCTTGAGCCAAGCCGAGTTTGATTGGAAAGGTAAAATATCTCACTGCCTTTCTCTCTCTTTCTCCCTCCTCCGGTGATAATTATAATAAAATTCATTTAATTATAATCTTCTAGTCCTAAATTAGTTATATTTTAGTGATTATCAATGGATTTTGTTATGACTTTGTTGTTAGGTACCAAAAAGTGAAAAGATGGACTATTTTGGATTGTTACGGCCCTTTTACAAAGTTTTACGGAGTTAAAAGATGAAGAAAATTCCAGCTGCAAAGAATACACACAAATGGGTTCCTAGAAGATTCTTTTTACCAAATCAACCATCCAAATCTTGATCTCATATTCGGTTGTAGAGAATCATGCAAAAAAAATACTGATTTAGTGGAAAACTAGAATGAGATTTGATTTGGATTTTACTCCCATTTCTTTGGGATTTTTTTTCAGCCATTATGCACTATAAATAGTGGTCTCAATTGATAAAAGCAACCCCCGTAGCTTGCATTTTTTGGCTGCTACTACTTTCTCCATTTTTGCCACCATTTTCATTTAGCCTTTTGTTTTAATTTTTTTACACCTTTAAAGATGTTTCTAGTCACCATGAGTGGCTAGTTTTCTTCATTTGGTTCAAGGATTTTTATTCTTTTATATTATATGTGAGACTACAAGTTTCATTTTATTTTTTCTATTTTTGATTCAAGTACTTATTGATTTTGATTTATTTTTATGAGAGTAGATACTTGATTAATCTGGCAATTTAATCAAGTATTTTCTTCATATTTACTAAATTGTTTATGTTGCGTTATCGTCTTAAGCATTTGGCACTAAATAGCACATTAGCAGATTATGCATATTGGTAGTGACACGTTGAATGTGCATGATTAGTCTAACTAGGGGATCAATAGGACAAAAACCTTTTAATTGCAGTTATCTCAATTATTTTAGTTTTTTTTTGTTCAACTACATTTTCAAAGATTTTATTGCTATCATAATTTAATATGGAACGTTATCGTGCCCAGTTAAATTATAATAAGTTTTGATTAGGTGTTGGGCTTGGTTAACTATTTTTTGGAAAATATAAGGTTTTTTACGGTTATCCTATTAAACCTACGGTTGAATGCTTGAGTTGTAGAAAAATCATTTTTAGTCGATGATCTGTAATATATTTGAAAAATATTCCTTGAACCAAGGTTTCCATTCTATTAATTTTTCTTAAGTTTATTTACTTTAAATTTTGTCAATTTTATTTTGAAGAAAGAAAAAAATCCCCCGCATTTTGTTACTTTTACAAAGCCAAGTGTCAAAAGTCGGCTCTCTTGGGATTCGACCTGATTCCACTGTTTCTACAATTTAATTTTAGCCTGTTTAGAATTTAGATTAATTTTTGCGAGTCTCGACAAACCCGTCATCCGGCTGTAATCCTATTTTCTCTATCAGAGCCTTTCTTCACCGTGGCCGGCTCTGATCGAACTGGACTCCTTTCTGGTACTTAAAATAACATTTTTCAACAATTAAATCCCGTGTTGCTTGCTTGTCCAAAACCATTAAGGGAATCCGAGAAATTATATGATCCCAATCTTTTTTATCCGGAGATCCAAGTTTACGATGCATTTTTCATGGATGTATTGACCCATTAGAAGGCTGACCGTTCAACATTGTGACCAGTGGTCATGGATGTATTCGATCTAATTTCCCTTTTCCATTCCCGATTCACTTTGTTTTGGTGTTGGGTTCCGGTGACGGGTTTTTGGCTCCGTCCATGGTATGATATTTCTTTCTACTTTCGCCATTAGGTATGTGTTAATTTTCAATTGGTGTAGCTTTGAAGTTTCATTGTTAAATCAATGGCATTAGTTTGAAATTAGTGAAGTCGATGTCAGCCTTTAATCTTTATAATAGTTTGCTAATAGGGATTTCTAATGCGGGTTCGGTTCCTTCTATCTGGTGGTGGAACCATCCGATAAATCTTTGATGGATTTCTCTATGCTATATTTGATGTCTCTAACTCAAGTGTCTTGTCTGCTCCAAACGAAGCGGTGTTTGGTTCATTCCAGCTTTTGATCATGGGAAAACTATGAAACTATCAACCAGAGGTACGGCAACTCTGTTCGGAACCACTAATGTTAATAACAAACAAATTGCAAGGTTTGAGAAACTAACCAGATTAGTCATCTTCTATATGAAGATGAATTGACTTGTGATGGAGTTGATTCATAGCTGCTCTCTGTGCATTTATATAGTTGTTATATAGGGTCTCATAAGGCTGTCATTATTCTCGTCTATCATGAAAGAAAGGGAATCCCTGCCTGGTGGATGATCCGTTCTGCCACTACATTTTGGAAATTTTCCAAAATCATTCGGTATTACCCTTTGTTGGCATTTAGTCTTAGTGCTAGGTTATGTAGAGTTTTATTTCTTTTGCTCAGGAGCCATGCATATATAAAGTAACAAGTTAGATGATTCCACATATGTTCTCAACCAAAAGCTTCTCATCAAGTTTGAGACGTTTCTCTTATTTAGGATTTCTACTGTTGATTTTTTCATACGTAATGAAAAGCTTCCTTCTATTGGGGTCTTGCTTTGCCTGATTGTCTTTTTTTTTTTTTTTTGCAGAGAGTGATTGCTATAATAGAGAGACAGATACAAGTGTTCAAAGCAGCCAAGATTCCAGCAAAAACACCAAAGAGATAGAACACTACCATTTAATATATAAATGGCGAGCTTGGGTGATCAAAGTGAAAGCTGTAATTCTATTACTCCTCCACTTCGGCAGTTACTTGGAAAGTGTTAAAGTCAATGGTGGTGTTGTGGTAGCTTTCTGTCCCGACGGGCCTTCACAAGCCAAGCTTCTTGAAGATGCATGCCACAAAGCTGGTTTTATTATTGAACCAGGTGGAAACAGGGTTGGCCTGGGGTTACTGCATGTATACCTAGCCAGTTGAAGAGGGCAAGAAATATATTTGTTATGATGGTTAGAAATAGCTGGTTGGTTAACTTTTTTCGTTTAATATTTGCTTCTTAAGCATATTATCAAAAAAGAGATTAAAACTCACATGTAACCAAACCAATATCATTTCAGCTGTGCGTTCATTGGATCTTGAGTGGAGTTTACTACTTATTTTTTATACAGAGTTTATTACTTTTCAGCAGGACAAAATTTCTCTGCTTCTCTTCTTGCCTTGATGATTATAAGCATTACCGCCTAGTTTGATTGATAATGAGTTAGTTGACGCACAAGTGGTTTCTTCATGCTCGATGTTCCTGATTTATTCTTTCATGCTGCTCATTCACGATTTAAATTTCATTTTTAAAACATCGGGAATGAAACAGAAAAGACAATGACTATGTTTGCAAGGACTAAAATTGAACTGTAATATGATATTTCATAGTTTTTGTTTCATGGGTAGTAGACCAAATTCGCAAAATGTATTACAACTTCAATTCTAAAATATGCAAACTTTCATATGGAGATGTAAAACGGGAAATTAAAATTCCGCCTTCGTTGTTTTTGTATCATAAATAATATACCACAACCAGAAAATATGTGAGAAGTTCAATTCTCTTACATATAAAAATTTCATTTTGGTAATAATCCAAAACTGAACTCACTCTTTGTTATTTGCCCTTACAAGTACAAAGTATGTCTCCAAGACATGGAAATAAATAGCCACACATCTCGTCCCAAAGACAACTTCCCAGATTGTCTCCAGTCCCAAAATTGTCAAAACCACTGGATTGTTGTTCTCCCGAATGACTGATCCCAAATTGATTATAACCAGGAATTTGTTGCGCCTAATATTTAAATGTGTAGTACTAATTATATATTTAAAAGAAAAAAAGAGAAACTAATTATACAATCAAATATAATCATCATTATCAATTAAAAGGAAAATCACCATAAGTAAATCTGTCATTCGCATTGTGGCTGGATTAGCAGCAAAGATGTGTTCACTTGTCCTTTTATGGACCTAAAAAGAAAAGATTAATATTAGGTGATTATTATAGATTTCAACAAAAGTAAACAATGTTACAATATACCTGAAAGCTAGATTGTACCACTGGATTTGGATGGGTGTAGACCTTCTGTGTGTTATCAGTGGGAACATCAATTAATTGCACTTCCTATGTTATAACCAAAAAAAAAAGAAGACAAAAACATAAACAAAAACCAAAAAAGGGAAAGAAAAATTGTTCAAAAAAGGAAAATAAAAACACTTCGTGAACATCAAGTATTTGATATATTGGACTTTTATGTAACTTATTTAGCCGAACCTGATTATTTGAAGGCCTTTTTGGTGAAGTTGTCCCGGAAGACGTCTTGGTTTTCTTAACTGCTCTTTTTTTACTTGTACTCTTCTCTAAACCACTCTTCAATCTCGTACTTGATGTAGGTTTTGGCCTCACCTTAATACCCTTAACCTTACCAACGTCGACCACATTGAGATCTGTTTTAGGATTATTAGACTGAGCTAACTCGTCATTTTATGTCGCTTGTTCTTTTTCAACGAGTATTTCTGCACCTTGTAAAATCTCATCAACTGACTCCAACAGTTTGAGAAGACCTTGTTTAACAGTATTTGTAGTGTCCTTCCTCTCTGCTGCTCTGGTGATCAACCGGAGGGTTATCGCACTCAAGTCTTTGTACCTCAAACCTAGTGACACTTCAGTATCCTCACTTTCATTGACGTTCAAAGTTTTATCATTAAGGTACCCTGTCTTGGCTTTTCGTGTCCATCTTTTCAAAATATACTGACTGGGTATTTTCAAAACACTTTTTGAGGTAAAAACCTTCAACACATGTGAGCATAGGATGCCAGCAAATTCAAACTTTCTACAACTGCAATACACTTCGTAATTGGAAGAATCATGTGTGACCAGATGAAAGTAGCTTTTTCCCACCGGAGTGACCTCATATTTTGTAATTGTACCATCTTCACCACGAACATTCAGACTACAATCGTGGCATTTAGTCCATTGATCTTGAAAACATTTAAACACTTCAGGTGTATACGCTTGCCGCGTGTTTCAAAATTTCAACACGTGTTGGTAATGCTGGAGTGCTAGTGTTCGCTCTAAAATCTGCCTTTAACTCGATGTACCGACGACCATCAATAAGCCTCTGGAAGTGATCAAAAAATTGTAAAAAGTTATGTTTATAACTTACATGCTTTTTTACTAGGCTGTTCATACTCTCACTCCTTTGCGTAGTAGTCATGTCCGCACAAAACATCTGACGACCATATACTAAGGCCCATTTTTCCTTCATACCAAACAATTGTTGCAACCAAGTATTATCTTGCAGTTCATATTTTTCCAACATCTCATTCCATGCAAAGATGAAATCTTTTTCTTCTTCAAAATCATAAATGCAAGAACTGAAATCACTTGAAAACTTTTTAAACCGAGAAAAAATATCACTCAAGTGAGTAGCAGCATTTTGGAAGATGTGCCATATACAGAGTCGATGATTAGTTTCAGGCCATTTATCCCTCAATGCACTTGACATTGCACGGTCGCCATCAGTAAGAATAGTTAAGGGTTTTTTACCTGACATAGCTTTTGCAAATGTTTCGAATAACCACTTGAATGTAGAAGCAGTTTCGTCATACAACAATGCAACACCAAAAATTGTAGTTTGCTTGTGATGGTTTATGCCTACAAACAAAGCCAATGGCCGCCCCTCACTATTTTTTCTGTAGGTTGTGTCAAAACAAACCACATCCCCGAAATCCGGATAATCATTCCTCATCTTTGCATCTGATCAAAATATATTTGTTATCAAATCATCTGTATCAACTTGAATTGCTTGGAAGAAATTAGGATCTTCAAATTGCATTTTGTATAAATACTCTAATACTCCTCCGGTATCTCCCTTTTTCATCTCCCTTGTTCTCTTTGTTCTTAAATAATTCTTATAATCATCAAGAGTAAAGCCAAGATTGTCCCTCCTGCCTTCTAGTCTCACCATAAGATCATGTCCTGCTTTCGGTGTGATCCCCACTTCATTAACCATGTCAATTTGTCGTGCTGCAACAGAAGAAATTTTTCTATGACTTCTGTGGAGATGTGTCTTATGAGGACTTGAAAGATAGTGATCGTGGACATCAATAAATTGAGTCACCTGATACTTGGTCGATGCCCACTTAATTCTCATTCTTGCCTGGCAATTAAATCTAGTTTCTGGACGAGGTTGCTTAACATAGGGATCTCTCTTATCAGGCTGTTTTGTACCTTCAGTACTACAAACAAAAAATCTACTAATCACCCTACCAAATTTGTTACTATAGCTCTGACTCTTTCTTATTCCAAATCTGACCTGTCTTGAATATGCTAATAATATTCAAAAACTTCATCTTCCATGTCAAACTCCATACCAACAGCTGGAACTAGTTCACTTGGAACGGAAGAGGGGGCATTCGAATTGTCATTAGTGTCTTGATCCATTGAGCTAGCTGTCTCATTGTTATCTAACTCCAATCCATGACGGGAAGCAGATTCACCTTCCATTAGTTCCCTAGATTTAAAACATGTCCAATTTGTAAAGATTCATTATACAAAAAGTAACACAATACAAAGAATATTATTAGCTATTAATTAACAGTACTGCAACTTGATATAAACTAAAACAAGATCAGAATTTGTTACTTATATAAACAAAAAGGCACATAGTACTGAAACTAAAGCCGGGGGATTAAGCATTGGCCATACAAGGTATTAAATAAACCAAAATCAACTCAAATTAAGCTTCCAAAACCCAAGTGAAAAAGAATCAAGCCAACTGTCTTTTGTTTTACTCCTATAATAAATTAATCAATACAGGGAATCATTAAATAGAAGAGAGTGAAACAAGTAGAATAGGTTTTTCATTACAACTAATTAGATGATGACCCTACCGTTGATCAGAATATTAGAGGATTAGCGATGGCTTCTGAATGTTGCTACTCAGAGGAGTCGGTGGCTGTAATATTACAACCTATCAAATGAAAACAGTGAATGAATTTTAATCAGTTTCTGTGTGGTGTGGGGAGACGACCTAAAATATTAAACAAATAAGAAAAGATCCACACCGTGATTCAGCCATTGCTTAAGTTTAAGCCGCTATGAAAGGATCCAAAATTACTAAGGTTACGTTCCTGTATTTACTAAGGCTAAATTAATTTTCAAATAGGGAAGAAATGGAGAGTTGACGGGACAAGGGATGAACGACGCCGTTCCGAATTCCTTTCAGGAACTTACAGGAAAAAATGTACAGAGGATCCGAACTGCAGTCTGACCATTATAAGTTAGTATACATCTGGGAGGATTGTGGTCCATGGTATAGATTTTCAAGCTATGCATCTGTCACTCAAGTTTGGAAGGATAGCAACATCAGGCTTGAGGCAAAAGATGAAGATATATATATATATATATATATATATATATATATATAGAGATTACAAAGGGGGCATTTTGAAATGGTAATTTTCATTGGTGGATGAGTTCGCAGTGGTATATTTTATGCTTTGATTTGGAGAATGCGTGTGAGAAGCCGACCATGGCTTCTAGTCCAGAACTCATTGAGTCAGTTCTTGGGGATCGAGATGTTCTCTTTTTCGGGGTAAGCGGTGATGATTTATGTCTCATTGGGCCAACAGATCCTCAGTTGTTGGTGTTGGGTGTTTTCGTGATGGAGTTGGACTACTCGAAATGGAACTTTAAATATAATCTCGACCTTTCTCCTCTGACAAATTTGTATCCCTCAATGGTAGATATTGAGGAAACAGATGATGGTGATCTTCTATTCACATTCTCCGTGTTTAGTTGCGTTGCCAACAAGAAGAATAGTAAACCCGAGTTGCTGATATCGATCCCAAGTAAAATCATTTCCTGTGATCTGCAGGAAATGATTGTCAAAGAGATTGCTGAAGTTGATGCGGAGGAAACTTATGATGATAGTTATTGGTGGAGTTTGTCCAGATTTCGATGGTGGCAAGCTTTTGAACATGTTGAGACTTTTGCTTCTGTTTGAAGGGTTTTTTTTTTTTTTTTTCAATAGTTTATCTGTTTCATGTTATCTTGAACTGCTTATCTCTTAGTGTTAGTCATTGCTGGTAGCTCTATTATGTTACTAGGTACTTATATACAATTATATATTGTGACTTGGAAGTTGGATTTGATTTCTTGCTGGAAGTTGGCTTGATGGGTAGTCGGATATGATTGGTCTTTCAATTTAGTTATAGCTTCAGGATGGAGAAATTGGATTCATTTAAGAAAAGTTAGGGTTCCTTTCCATGGCAAATAAAAAAGAACGAAACTATATCTGATGATAATCCGCGTCTTAGTTAATTTTTAGTTTTGTGTATTTGGATGAGTTTCTGCTGATGGACTAGTTAGTGTAACACAAAACTGTAATGAAATATCTTTTACCTTCATTTCCCTTGATCCTAGCTAGCATACCCAACACTTTTTTCTCTTTCATTTTGATATACTTGTATCATAAATGGCTCACATGAAGATATTGTTAGCAGTTTATCTTTTTGTATATGCTAATAATCGATCACATCAAATGATTATATTTTGATACTTTTTACTGTTAGTGATATATTATAAAAAATAATACGATGCATTTTGTGTAAAAAAAAAAAATAGTCTTTATAGATTTTAAAATACAGAATGGAGTTACGTACAGTTGACTTCCAAACCTCATTATCACCGGAGAGAGAAAATTATGATGCCATGTAGTGGAGGTTTATTTGGGAACTAAGCTAGACTTGATGATGTGATGCGGGCAAGAATTTCTTGCATTTTAAGATTAATTTAAAATCAACTTGTTAAACTTTCATTTGCAATTAAGAAAACATAACAACAATGAAGTCGTACGCGCGCATGATCAAAAAATTCTGAGTAAGTAATGCAAAAGCTCCTTAGCCGTCCAATTTTTTGTCCAAGACAAATAACTACCGCCTATCATATTTGTTTATCTTGTTTAGTTTTCGGATAACTGTTAAGTCGTGATTAGATAAGCAATTATCTTTTACATTTGCTCAAACAAATTTTTCTTCCCGAACAAAAAAATTGATAATGACACCATTTGAATAACTCGCATCCAACTACTCATAATTTAGTACACATATCCATGAATGACACCATCAGATGACAAAACTAATCCATTTGAAGATGGAACTTAAAAGTTAAAACAAGAGGACCCTAATAAATTAACAAAATAAATAAAATGTGAAGTTTGACCAAATGCAAATTAAAGGATAACTGGGACAGGTCACTACTAATGTAGAAAGCTTTAATACGTTATCTTTCATTATAATAAGTAAATTAAATTCAACTCAAAATTATGATTAAGTTTACAGTTTAAAGGGGCAAATTTCTTTATCAATCTTATTGAGTATTATAATCTCTGTATCAAAAAATTTGGTAACTTAATTACCAAGAGGGTAGAACAAAGTGGAGGACGACAGAGGAAGTTTCACTACTTGATTGATGTGGGATAAGAACTTCCAACTTCAACGAGATTGTTAAGATCATATTGTAATTATGAACTTAATGGACCAAAGTTCGATAATTTTAGGGCAAGGAGCTGTAACTCTGCCTTTTCTATAAACATGCATTTGGTTTCGTCTCCTCTTTCAGAAATTTTCCATGCAATGTACTATCCTGTTGCCTTCTCCAGATTAATGTCTTGTTTTGCTAAGGCATTGTCATGCTGTTATTTACTTCTTTTTTTGTTTTTTTGAAAACCATATTATATTTCGTCAAGGGCGCGAACGTCCACAATAATTTCTCTCTCTCTCTCTATTGACATTTAGGGGGACTAAAACCTTAAAGAACAGTCAAATCCGGCTGCTACAGTAAAGTTACACAAATTATATAATACGTACAAAAATGTACTTAATTATTTAAGCCAAAAAAAAAAATGGAACTGTTCTGTTCTTTGATATTTGAAAAATCCAATGGACTTTCTTTTCTTTTCCTTTTTTTTAATCTTTTGGCTGCAATAATATTATTGTGAACGCAAAATCCAACAATCAAATTCTCTTTTCAAACTAACAACAACTCTCAAATACGATAGTTTCGTCAAACTCTTCGTCATGGAAGCCCAAATATAGGCCCACATGTGGTTCTACCTTAAAATCAATTAGTGATAAGGGGAGTAGCACATGTGATTATACATTGGTTCCAATATGGGACAAGGAAACTCGGACAATTCTCAATATGCAATATTCTCAAGACCCCCTTTTCAAGCCCGAAGGGGTTAAACAAACCAGATAAACTGCCAGATCATTAAAGGCCCAGATATAACTGAGTAAGTTAAAGAAGTAGAAATGGAAGATCTAGATTTGAATAAGTAGAACTAGAAGCCCCAAACGGGTAAGTTAATCAGACCTCGGATATAACTGTCGGGCCAGTCAAAGCCCGTCCCATAAGTCAAACAGGTCCGCAAATAAAACCCGGTCAAATAAAATCTTGAAAGCCCAAATATAGGCCCACATGTGGTTCTACCTTAAAACAAATTAGTGATAAGAAGAGTAGCACATGTGGTTATATATTAATTGTTTCCAATGTAGGACAAAGGAACTTGGACAATTCTCAATATGCAATATTCTCAACACTTCGAACTCATACTTCGCAGTCTTTTTTTCTTTTGTCTGCGATAGCATCATTGTTAACGTTAAAAAATCAAAACTCCTTTCTTAAATAAACAGCTTCTCCCAAAAACATCAGTGCCAAAAGTCAATGTGAGTTAATACTCTTTTTGTTTTTTTTTTAAATCCAGTGGGCTATAGTATTTGTATTATTTTTAGTACATATCAAACTTCAAGTAATTATTTATTAAGATACTGTATTGTTGGGCATGCTACCTTAATCACATTTTACCTTGTAGCCACACGTTTAATTTTTCTGGGGAGGTGTTTTCAACGACCAATATGTACACCCTTCAAGGTAATTTTCACCAACCTAACCCGTTAATCTCTTCAGTAAACCTTTCCATGGCAAGTTTTGGTAAGCAAAGATGAACATTGATCCCTTTCTCCCCTTCCATGGCAAGTTTTGGTAAGCAAAGATGAACATTGATCCCTTTCTCCCCTTCCTTGTTCTCTCAGCTCCGTCGGAAGTTCGGCTATCCCTGCGTAAACCGGTTCCCCCCACCCGAAATCCACCTGATCGAATCCAAGCCTTCTCAAATCCGAAACTAAGAATGCCGATTCCACCACATGTGCCGGTCGCCCTTTCAGAACCATCAGGTCGGCTACCGACTTCATGTACTCCCCTGTCACTTCCGATTTAGCCTTCATCACCAGCTCCACCGTGTACTCGAGCGGGTTTTTGATCAGTTCTTCAACCGTGGTAACCGCCACGGGTGTGGCAAATGCCACACCGTAGTACCCTTTTGGCAAAGGTGGATTAAACCGGGAACGGGCGTTCACAGCAAACATGACTTTGGCTTCCTTTTCTGGGCTGGTTTGGAGGGCACGTGTCCGGTATCGCCAAAGGCATGCGGTGAGGACATCAAAATCGGAGCACATGAGGCGGAGGTTAGCCGGAAGAAAGGTCAGTATTGCGGAGATTTTCCCCGGGCCAAAAAAGAACGATCTTTCGACCAAGTCTTTATGTGACGCGAATGGATCTTGTGTTTTCGTGTTCGAGTAGGGGGTGGCGTCGTATTCCCGGTGGATGGAAGTTATTCCCGGAGGGTCTCTTGCGTTCAAAAGCTGTCTCATCCATACCGGAGTTACCGATGGGGCTGAGGCTCCTCTTGCGATTTCGGCCACGGCCTTTTGAAATTGTGCGATGCCCGCACCATCTGAAATTGCGTGATTGAAACGGAGGGCGAAGATGAAACCTCCGCATCGGAGACGTGTCACCTGCTCACTCACGTGAAGTTTGTCGCAATGATTGAACCGTATGGATTTTTATTGTAAGAATTTATTTAAAAAGTGAAAATAAAACCTAGACAATTATTCTGCAACGGATGGAGTAGTCTTTTACTAGAGAATGAAAAGATAGAAGAGACAGTAAAAGTTTGTGATTATAAGCACGAATTTAGACAATTACCTGCACAAGGAGCAAAGGAGCGTGGAGAATTTCACTAGAGCCAGGAACATCATACAATAACTCGTCAAAGCCTGGGAATGGTGGTCGAACCTCGTCGCCGAAGTCTTCTAGCGTCACATCGGCATCCGCCTCGATAAACATCACGCCCTCACCGGTGCAATCTACCGCCAGTTTCTCTTTTGGTGCTTCTATTACTCGCCCGGCGAATGGGTAATAAGACTCTAATGTCTCAGCCAGAGCTGCTTTAATTACTTTTACAGGATCTTCTTCCTTGCTACGATTACTAGTATCTTGATCCCCTCTTCTTTTGTAAAAGCTTACCATGGATTCATGATATCGTAGACCATTTTGGTCATCAATGTCGGATAAGAGTTTAATTTCGTGTGGTGTTGGACTTGCCGGACGAATTAGCTCCGGCAGTTGCCTCTTTATTTGGAAGCACTTTACTGATGTTGAAAAGCACATCACGTTATCTTAATATTAGCACTCAGAAATGAAAGGAAAAGAAGAGAAAAACTGCTGATTAAAGATGCACAAGCACGAAGCAGGAATAATGGTATCCTAAATACAACAGAAGCTCGAACAAATGGTGGTAGTGTGTGTGTATATATATAGTATAGTATAGGGTGGCCTAATGGAATTACCAAAGAATTAGTTAATCGGTTTATTTGGACTTTTTAAGTTCTATTAGGTTTTTTTTTTCTTTTTCCTTTTCTTGGGTAAAAACTTGTGATACTTTGATTGATAAAGACTTTTTCTTAGTCCTTTTTTTTTTTTTTTGTTGAGAAGGACTTTTCTTAGTTGACTTGATTGATTGATAATGACTTATAACCAATGAAGGTTTAGCAGATTATTTTATGGGATATCTTTTGATAGCCGAGTACCGTGATCAATATTGATCGGTATTGGGTCTATTGTTTCATCCCAAAGAGATTTTGTCTTTCGCTTTCAATCGCTTTCAATTCGTTATGGAGTCCTCTAGATCGAGATCCTCAAATTAGGTTGCTATCTATTACATTCTCACGGAGATATTAGGTTGCTATTTGGAGTAATTGTTTCATCGTTCAACACATGTTAGAGGAGCTAATTAGAGCGACTAACAACCTCTCGATGGCTACTCTATATTAAATATATATTTTAAAATTTCAAACTTCCATTGCATAAACTTGATACTGTAATAGTTGTTCAAACATCATGAATCAAGTCCTCTCTAGTACTACATGTAATTGGTTTACCAGCCGTTATGAAAAATAGTTACTAACTAGAATTTTCATACTTACATTTCAAACCTGACTAAAATGTCCAAATGGTCCCTTACATTTGGGCGTACTTGAATTTACATCTCTAACATTAACATTTCAATATCGTTGTCCCAAACATTATGTATCAAACTTTTTCGGTCTCATTTCACTGTTTACAGTCGTTGACATGCCGGAATCAGGGGTATTTTTTTCTTTTAATTTAATTTTAATTTTAATTAAAATTTAAATCATTAAAAACATTTAAAATTTCAGATTTCATTATTTAATTGTTAAAATATTATTTATTAATTAAAAATATTATTATAAAATTTTAAAATTTACATTATTTTCAAAATTAATTTTTTCATTTATCATTCATCTTAAGTGAAAGTAAATAGTCATTATGTTGTACTTTTAACCTTGGGTTCACTGTAACTTAAAAAATTTATCGAGTTACAGTAAATAATTCAAAATTCAATTTCTTTAAAAAAAAAGAAAAAGAAAAACCATATTTTTTACTCTGACCACTCAGTAAACCCTAAATAGTAATTATGTTGCACTTTTAACCTTGGACCCACTATAACTTAAAAAATTTAGCGAGTTACAGCAAAATAATTCAAAATTCAATTTAAAGGAAAAAAAGAAAAAGAAAAGCCAAGATTTTATTTTACTTTGACCGCTACCGAGGAATTTTGAATTATTTACTGTAACTCGGCAAATTTTTTAAGTTACATTGGGTCCAAGGTTAAAAGTGCAATATAAGGGTTTATTGTAGCGGTCAATTACTTTGTTTTGCTTTTTCCTTTTTTTTATAAAAAAAAATTTGAATTTTGAATTATTTACTATAACTCAATAAATTTTTTAAGTTACAGTGGGTCCAAGGTAAAAAAGTAAGATAGCGGTTAGAGTAAAAAAAATATTGGTTTTCCTTTTTTTTGGAAAAAAATTGAATTTTGAATTATTTACTGTAATTTGGTAATTTTTTTAAGTTACAGTGGGTCCAAGGTTAAAAGTGCAACATAATTACCATTTAGGGTTTACTATAACGGTCAAAGAAAAAAAATCTTGGTTTTTCTTTTTCTTTTTTTTTAAAAAAAATTAAATTTTGAAGTATTTACTGTAACTCGGTAAAATTTTTGAGTTATAGTGCGTTCAAGGTTAAAAGTGTATTATAATTACCATTTAGGGTTTACTGTAGCGGTCAAAGTAAAAAAAATCTTAGTTTTGCTTTTTATTGTTTTTTAAAAAATTGAATATTGAATTATTTACTGTAACTCGGTAAATTTTCAAGTTACAGTGGGCCCAAGATTAAAAGTGTAACATAATTAGCTATTAGGGTTTACCGTAGCGGTTAGTGTAAAAAAAATCTAAGTTTTGGCTTTTTTTCTTTTAAAAAAAATAATTAAATTTTGAATTATTTACTGTAACTTGGTAAATGTTTTAAGTTACAGTGGGTCCAAAGTTAAAAGTCCAACATGATTACCATTTATTGTGTACTTAAAGTAAATAGTAAATGAAAAAAGTAATTTCAAAATAATAATCGATTTTAAAATTGTATAATAATATTTTTAATTAATAAATAATATTTTAACAATTAAATAATGAAATTTGAATTTTAAAATATTTTTAATGATTTAAATTTTAATAAAAATTTTAATTAAATGAAAAGATAAAAATACTCCTGAATCTGGTATGTCAACGGCCGGAAACAGTGAAATGGGACAAAAAAAGTGTCAAAACATAATGTTTGGGACTACGATATTGAAATGTTAATGTTAGGGACATAAATTCAAGTAGACCCAAATGTAAAGGACCATTTGGACATTTTAGTCCTTCAAACCTAATGCATATATAACAACCCTAACATTACTTCCTCTATCCCGAATGATTTTCTTACATAGATTTTCATTTTTAGTTCAAAAATACTCTATGTCACAAAATTAATGTCATTTTTTGTAACATCTCACCTACTAGGCCTATCTCAATAAATATTTGGATGTTCGCTCTCGCTGGACCCAAAATGGTTAACCAAATTACTAATAGACGAGCTAGCTTAGGCTTATAAACTGATCCCCATCACTTCCTGGAGTCGATGTGGGACTAGAATGTGGAGCTAGCTTGACATGCTTGCTTCCACGACATCTCATATTCGACCTCCCTATGAATCCTTGCGTCCTTGCAAGGTCCAAGACACACACACAGTCACACACAGCACAACACACAACACATAACACATACAGTTGGCTCAGACTCCCTTAAAGCAGATGCGTTTCACTTGTCTAACACCTCTTATGAGCGCAGAGGTGTCACACAGTACTTGTCTCCTACGTGTCAGCTCAGAGGTGGATCCGCACCCGGACTAGGTTGGCTCTGATACCAATTATAATATCCCAACTACTAGGTCTGCTTCAATAATTATTTGAGTGTTCATCCTCGCTGGACCAAAATGGTTAATCTAAATTACTTGTAAACCAGTTAGCTTAGGCTGATAAACTGATCACCATGACTTCCTGGAACCGATGTGGACTAGAATGTGGAGCTAGCTTGACATGCGTGCTTCAACGGGATCTCACATGTTTAAATTTTCATTTTTTTTCATCTTATAATATAAATGAAAAATAATTTTCGGAAGGAAAATATTTTTTTATATAGAGACGAACACTCTTGTGTAAAGATTTCAAAGCAGAGGTAAAACTTTCATTACGGCATTAAATCACTTTGATTGAGACAGGTATCGAGAATCATAGTGGCGAGCCACTCATTGCCTATGAAGCACAAAACGAGGACCCCAAATCAAAGTTTAACTCTTCACTATCATTAATATTAATTTTTAGTTACATTTCATTGCATTTTAATAAGGTCAATATGAACGGCACCATTAGATATTTATGCTTGCCAGTGGTGTACTTTTAGTGAGGACAAGTCGAAAAGTGTATATGCTAACCATCCACTTTCATAGGTTTAAATTAACCTTTTTCGCCTGTTGAACAATTTGTAATTTCCATTTTAACATTGGGTTCTATTATTGGGCATTACTCACTTTGGTTTCTTTGGTAACTTTAATTTATAGAACGAAATTGCTTATAAACCTTAAATTTCAAAAGAAATATGCACATAAAACCAAGACATAGAAGAAAGAATATACAAAAACATATATAAATGGCTGTACAAGGTGGGGGCACGTGCCCCAGTATCCGCCACTGCATACCAGATAAGTTGGCCAGTCTTAACGACCACCATAATTCCGGCTAAAAAAACTTTGAAAAAACCTAGGCAAAGGCCCACAATTTCAGTGAAGTTAGTGAAATCGAATATTGCTGGAATCCATTACTAGAATGTATTCAAGCCATATCATAAGTAATACTTTTTACGGCTATTCACATTAAGAGGTCACTATCATGCGCATTTCAATTTTTTATTATTTTTTATATTCCATGGTGTCCACTAATAATAACAGTGGACGTAATTTTATTCTTATTTTAAATTTTTTCACATATTTCAACCGTTGCATATTTCTATTTTTCAATTTTTTTTTGTATATTGTATATTTAAACTTTAATAAATGATCATGTTCACTTTCAACAATAAAACGGTTGTTCAATACATGTAGAGTCACATGACCTTAAATCAACATGTAGGAGCTATAATGTACACTTCCAATCAACATGCATTAATTGATTAAAACATGACCTTAAAAGTTGGGCCGTACATATGTAAAATGTCTTGGGCTTCAAACATAATCCGTACTCTCATCTATCGGCAAGAGCTAGGTTGGCTCTCATATAGGGGATGCAACGATCTCAAAATCCTCAATTTGCTAAATGGAATTACGACATAGTCGGCCATTCGGTTTTGTGGGACTTTCATGTTCAATTTAAGACATTAGTGAATGATGCGAGACTTCTGAACCATAATTAGGTGGAGGTAAACATCGCAGCTAATGGATAGACTTATTAGCTTGAATGGGCAATTCGCTAAAAACATTCAGACGTTTCTCTCATTCAATCTTTCCAAACCATTGTTGGGTCTAGATCGAAGGAATCTTATACATAGATAAGAGCAAAGGAGTCATAAAATTGTACTCCTTTAATCCTACAAAAATAATATAATCTGCAAGTTGTATTGTTTTAGTACAATTACAATTTACACACGAAATACCTTTTTTTTGTAATAATATAGGTTCCTCATTCCCTAGTCACAATAGGTCAATAGGACACTCACCAGTATGCTATTAAATCTACACCTAATGACACACTTGTGTATCATAAATTTATGGGACCCTACTAAACTTAAAACACTTTAAAGTGTACTAATAAGTGGAATACTATTACAACCCCAATTTTACTTTTATTTTCCTGATAGCTAATACTTTAATTTTATGGTTCAAGGTATTTTCCCATTTTTTATCGGTACAGTAATTA